TTTATTCGTCTCCTGCGATCGTAGTAAAGAAGAAACATTAAAGCTCATGTATAAGTCGCGCCAAAAATTTCCAAACCGTTGGACCCACTAATAAGGATATCTCAACAGCTCAATCCCTCAACACCCCGAGGTCGCTCTTACGTGCACCGAAAATCTCCCTCAACCGCCTCATCTCGACTTCTTCACCCTCAATTGAGCTGTGCAATGGCCTCTCTTACAGCAGCATGCAGGGCATCTGCCCGAGCTGTTACTGCTCGGTCTTCTGTTGCTCGTGGTACGTTCTGCCCATTTCCCGATGTTGAAAAAGCCCCTCGGACCCTTTTGTCGCGCACCGACTAACACATCATCTTCTGCTGTAGGCTTCACCACCTCGACGCGATGTCTCGCCGCTCAGAACTTCACCATGCCCGCCCTCTCGCCCACTATGACCGAAGGTAACATTGCTACATGGAAGGTCAAGGAAGGAGAGGCTTTCAGTGCCGGTGACGTGCTGCTCGAGATCGAGACCGACAAGGCCAGCATGGATGTTGAGGCTCAGGACGATGGTATCATGGTCAAGATCATGGCTGGTGATGGAAGTAAGGCTGTTCAGGTTGGAACACGCATTGGTGTCATTGCTGAGGCCGGCGATGATATCAACTCCCTCGAGATTCCCGCCGACGAGCAGTCCAAGGAGCAACCGAAGGAACAGTCCAGCGCCCAGGCCCCTAAGGAGAGCACCGCCCCCTCCGAGTCGAACCCCGTTGAGAAGAAGAGCGCAAAGCCTACTGGCAACGATACCTACGAACACAAGTACCCCTTGCTGCCCTCAGTTGGACATCTGATCAAGGAGAAGGGCATCAGTGAGGCTGACCTCAAGAAGATCAAGGGCACTGGTCCTCACGGCCGATTGCTCAAGGGTGATATCCTTGCCTACCTTGGCAGCATCAACCCCGAGACTCCCGCTGCCAACGAGGTCAACTTCAACAACCTGTTCCACCTCGACCTCAGCAATATCAAGGTGGCTACCAAGCCTGCTCCTCCTTCTAAGCCTGTGGAGGAGGCTAAGGCTGAGGCTCCTAAGGCCCCCGTGGTTGAGAACCTCGAAGTTTCCATCCCCATTACTTTGTCCAAGGTCGTTGAGGTCCAGAAACGGATTCACGAGACCCTCGGTGTCTTCCTGCCCATCTCGACCTTTGTCGGCCGCGCTGCTGAGGTTGCCAACGACGACCTCCCTCCTACCAAGCGTACCCCTACCGCCAACGAGCTTTTTGACCAGATTCTCGGCCTCGATAAGATCAAGGCTGCTAAGGGTTCTCGCGGCGTCTACCTACCCCAGATCTCTGCTGTCCCTCCCACCTCCCTACTCACACCTCTCTCCCCCGCCCGAAAGCAGACTGACATTATTGACATCCTCGCCGCGCCGAAGAAGTCTGCTCCCAAGCCTGCTGCCATCCAGACCGTCCCTGGTCTCTCCAGCGGCGCCAATGTCTTTACTCTTGTGGTCCCCAAGGCAGAGGAGGAGAGAGCACAAATCTTCCTTGAGCGTTGCAAGGTGATTCTGGAGGAGGAGCCAGGACGACTGGTGTTGTGAGCTTACGAAGATTCCCTGTAATATATCGATATTTTTGCTATAGACAATGGCTAGTAATTGCGCTTGGAACGCGCTCTTGGTATTACGCCTACGCCTTTCAGTGGTGTTTTGCCAGATAGTCAGAACAACAAATCCAATGATGAAACATGTTTGATGCCAGAACACATATCTAATAAAATAGTTCATTGTGCCATTCGGCTTTGGTATATTGTGTTTTTCATGCTGTATTGAAGAAGTCCTCTTCCTCTGCCCAGGAGGATCTTTGGCAAGTCGGTTTCCGAAGACTAAGAGTTCCATAGATAAAGAAGAGTTCGAAAATGAAACCATTAAGTACCGTCTGCCTCAAATGAGAGCCTCGTAGATAGTGACGTTAAGAGTCTTTCTATCTGTCGCCTTGATAATGTGTATCCCAGTATGACGGCATGACAATCATGTGTCCATGAGATTGTTCCCATCATTATGCTTACAAGTCCACATATACTGGGCACTCCAACAGTCTAAGGTACCTTGTTTCATACCGCTGCCATGTAGTTGTCTTCTTATTCACCATACATTCAGGAAAATCATTGTCTTTCAGCAAAGGAGTAACTATGGAGCTTCGAGATATGAGATCAGAGATGCGTGGTATTGTATACAATCATTTTCGCAATCTCTATTCATCTTGAGCTCCTTTGTAGTGAACGTATTCAAAGAAGATCCCTTCGATCTGGTCCACACCATCGGAGCATTGGATCGAACGGATGAGTAGTTCCCGTCTGCAAGGTCAAGCAAACCCACATAAGTTCCTAGACATCCTTCAATCTCTGATAATTCATCGGCGTTCGGCTGAAGGCGAGACCATGAAATTAATTCAGCTTTATTGCGGAGTTGAACGGGAAATGCCGAGATGCCAAGGCCCACCTTGGGTTGTCTACTCTGTACCTTAGATTGTGAACGCATCTCCATATGCCTGCATGTATTGGGTATATCAGTCACGTACCAACGCCAGCTAAGCTATTGTTTGTTTGGAGATGGGTCATGGCCTATAGTAGTGTCTTTCATGGAAGGGATCGTGAGGAATCGTGATCAACAATTCATGCAGGAGGATGAAACAGTCGAGTGCCTCCCTGAGAGGACTGACCTTTCCTGTCGACTTGCATTAGTGATGCCTCAACTGAAGGAAGTGGGCAAGACTAGGACTGCAATCCGTGAACTGGTTGACTAAAGTGGCTGTGGGTGTGTCTCGGGGAATAGGACAGAATCCGCGAACCCGGTCGGCGGACAAGGTTATGGTACATAGAAAGCAGCTGGAGAGTGCCGTGGCCTCAAGACGTGTTACTGTAAAAGTTACCAGTGGAGGAGGTCTCTCGATTGGCGAGAGAAAAACAAGCAAGCGGCTATCTGCAGAAGCGTGTTAATACTGGCTGGAGTTGCCCCTTCGACCGATGCTAGTGGCGATGAATGACCCCTGTTTGTTCAAACGCTTAAGCTAAGACATGGTGAGGTAAGAGAAGAGAAGAATAAGGCGGGATCGGAATGCTCATAGATGAAGATGATGTTGACATCCTTGCCAGGCTGAGCCTTGAGTTTCAATAAGGTACCTTGAGGGAGGTACTTACCTACCTACCTATGCAAGTGGATGGATGACTAAGGCGTCCCGGGCCGCATGTAAGTGAAGGAAGGCCAGTTACACAAAGCGACTTTGCCGGCAGCTAATGGTCGTCACGTGGAAGAAGCAAAGTGAGTATACGGATACCTCAGACTTCTCTCTTTCCTCTGACTGGACCAGCAACTTGAACTTCTTCACGATGAACAGCCTGGTCAGAGGGAGAAAAGACCGCTAGTCTTGTGCTCGACATAATACGAGAGAAATGACCAACCAACAGAAATACCAAGACTTTCTGAGTTCCGATTGAGAAACTCACACCCCCAGGATCGATTCATCATCCAGAGCGACTGTTCCCCACCCAGGACTTACAACTACCTTACCTCGCGTCGCGAGCTTAGAGGAGCCATTATGTTGGGCTTTCGCACTAGGATCATAGAGACAGTGTTCTTTTCATTCCAGGAGGCCCTTCCAATAGCATATACTTGCTTCTTCTGGTCTCAGATCTGCCCCTCCCCTTTACTGCAGGACCTCCCAACCCCAGTCTGAAGCCAATGATATGACTTCGCAGCCAGAAGTTCCAGGATGATCACTAAGACAAGGAGGATGTCTACTGTGTACGTCTCAGGGCCCCTCTCAGCTCCTGCGGCCATGCGCCATGGAACGCCCATGGGACGCCACAATTGTCTGCTCTACCTCTCCCACCAGCGTCGCTGCTTTCATCTGGTCACATAACATCAGACAGCCTGGTTCCGAGCTGTTGGTACGGCTTCTAGTTGGATGACTTGAGTCCCCATCGTTAGCAAGATAGGTAGAAAGTGTCTGCCGTCCCGCTGTGCCGTCTCATTAATGCTCAGTGTCATTTCTCTACTGCATTGTCGTTGCATCTCATTTGTAAAATCCAGGGCTGTTTCTCTAGAAGCCTCCTGCCAAGGTAGAGCCCTATATATGAAGCTCTGGCCTCCAACATCTTCGGATCCAATATTGACCAAGACGACCTCCGACCGAGCAAGACCTCCCCAGAGTGAGTTTGCAGTTGCGGCAGTCCTCCTTGTCTTCCAGTTTCGTATCTTGAACAGCCTTGGCAGGGCCTGCCACAGACATTTCTGGCCGAATTTCACAATTCAGGTACAAGGACTCTCACAATTGATACGACTACTGAGTCACCAGCTACCCAGTTGCTTTTGCAACACGCATCAGCTTAGATCAACACTACGGGACTGTTTTGCGGAAACAATATCCTCTATATAAAGCGACCAAAGATTATCTTTGAAGCGTACCACCTTGACAGTTGTATCTGGCATGACGCGACTGAGAGTCCCAGCAGATAAGCGCAGACGAGTTGCGCAGGCCTGTAACGCATGCAGGCAGCGTAAGCAACGTGTAAGAACAAGAGCCCCCCCCCCCCCCCCTAATTTCTAACCAATTGTCTTTACCAACGTACTTTCTTTCCATTCCATCAACGGACCTCATGATACCCTTGATTCCTAGCCACAAGCGACTCCTATATCCTAACCATAGGGAGCATGGCCTCGTTAATGAGCAGCTACTCCTGGATGGTTTCCTCTATATGATCTTACCCGAAACACCAAGTTTGTTAGATAGGCGACCTGGTCCGCAAATAGCCAGATGGAAAAGCGTTTACTAACACGTACTCTATCATACAGTGTGATGGCCTTCGCCCTTGTAAATATTGTCGAAAACGAAGAGTGGACTGCGAATACAGGAGTCGTACAGACTCAGTATCATCAAGCGAATCTCCTCGTCTGTCATCGAGGCAAAGCCCTTATAGAGAGCGTTCTAACCCGCCTGAGCTTTGCAGTACGCTGGATACGGTCCATGATGCACCTATCCAAGGGAACCTCGCAAGATCAGCAACTCCCGAATTTGATTTCAGGTTTCGACTTCTTTCGGTATCTGGATCTGAAGAGATTCAGATACCTGCCCACACTTGCATGCTGCTAGATTGTCAGAATCGTCTCTGTAAGTCTGCTAGCTATTATGGAGTGACCTGGGAGTTGTTACTAAAAGCACTAGCCTTTGTTGGGCGTTCTACTGCTCACTCTTTCATGCACCATATCAGGAACACAATCGAGAAACGCGATGGCCCTTCGGAGTTCACGGCAGATAGCAATTGGAGCGGTCTACCAGAAAGACTCCCCGTGACCCCTAGGATGCAGTCCTTTCTCTCTCCGAGTGCAACTGCGAGTTTGATCGAGTTCTATTTCAACCACGTAAGTCGTTGGGCTACTCGAGAGGGAAGAACAGAACTAAGTTCGCATTAGGTACGGAGCTTCATCGATATTGTCAACCCAGAAGCTATGAGCTTGACCTTGTATCAATTCCAGAATAACCCGAATGAGGTTCAGGGACCCGATCGGTGCATACTCTGTTTGGTTCTTGCAGTCGCGCTCGCCTTGGATTCTGGTGATTCAGCACAGTCGACGAGCCCGGAATTTAAACACCAGCTGTTTGCTATAGCTGAGGGGCTGGCTCACCCAACCCGTACCTTCGAAAAGTCTCAGTATCACGATGACGTCCTCTGGCGTCTCCAAGCTCTCGCTTTGATGTCGTTCTTTATGCTGTCTGTTTCTATGAGGAATACTGCTTATGAATTTTGCGGCAAGTCTCATCGTATTTGTATGCGAATCAAGGAAGCTAACAATGACTCAGGTCGAGCTGTTCGAGTTGCCTACGCCCTTGGGATTCATCGAGGCCATGAGTCTGAGATCAGTCAGTTCCCCGCCAACGAGGAACTCAGAGTTTTACGAAGAAACGTCTGGAGAAGTCTGTTTGTCCTAGACAGATTCCTGGCTGCAACTTTAGGAAGACCATTCGCCATCTCTGATCACGAATACTCCGAATCCTCCCTTAGGCCACCCAACCGACCAAGGAGTCCCAACAAAGTTCCGAAAAGGGACATGCTCGACCCCCCTATTGATGCATGTAAAATGATTGGTCATATCATGAACAACATTTACTCATGTGACAAAGTCGCGATCGAGATTCCGAATCAAATGCTGGAGTACCTAGAAGCTCACCCAAGTTTCCAAGAAGATGGATTCTTTACGACAAGCGGCTTAATGCCTACGGTATCTCAAATTCATGTGCATTTACTTGGCTTCTACGCCAATATCCTCCTTTGTCGCCCATTTTTCCTTTTATCCTTCATGGGGACAAACGCCTCAGATGGCATCCAGACACAAATCAATAGGCTGTCTGAAAGATGCGTCTCTCAATCACTTCAAGCGGTTGAAATGGTGAAAGGGGGGTTTCATGCCAACCTCTTGCGCCATTCTGACCCCCTTGCTCTGTAAGTCTGCTGCATCTTGTCGGCCTTGAGTATTCGCTCACGAAAGCACAGCTATGTTTTATTTGAAGCGGCACTTGTCTTGCTTAGCAGTACTTATGCAGATATCTACGCTCAAAAGGAGCACTTGTTGTTGGTAAAAGACACAATGTTCATATTGAAAACATGGTACGCCTCGAGCCCTTATGCAGAGCAGTTCGCTTCCAAGTTGGACTTGTTTCGGCATGACGTCGAACGCCAAGAACAAGTGAAAGCTATAAGACAGGCTTCGAGGAGACAGACTCACAAAGTCAAACGCGAGCCGATGACATCTTACGAGCCTAGTCAGTATCGCTCTCCATTTCGGCAAATGCCTCGTGGTAGTTTGGTATCCTCGTGCGATAGCCGTCGCGGGTCGGGGTCCGCAAACAACACCACGATCAAACAAGAAGCTGGTGTGTACTCAGGCTCCTTAACATCAAGGCCCTTGTTCTCGCCTACCGACTTCAACATGAATCAATCTCAGTCTTTTGCCGAGTATTCACAAAGTTCACATTTCAGTGATCACAGCATCGACATGGATTAGTCTGCCTTGACCGATCTTCAAGGTTCAAATTGGGCCGTCCTCGATGACCTGGTGGCCAAGCATGCAATGGGCCGTTCCAAGCGGTTCAATTGCAGGATGAACAATATTTTTACGTAGCCAAGCAAGTGAGAGAAAAGGAGAAATTGATGGACGAGAAATTCGGCAGGCAAATGAAAATAGTTCGGCAAAAGCGGGTGAGTCTAACACTTGGCGTAGGAGGAAGGATTGTTAGTGTGCTGGATCGGGAGGCAGATGTCAAATACGGATGTCACTTTAGTCCTAGAGGAGCGTTTTGAGACGCATTTCAGAAATATCTGCCATAGATATCAATTGCAATCATGTCTGGGTAGCTGATGTGTCACTCAACACCACAGAATTTCCGAGTTAAGCGGTGACTGTTGGCCCTGCATTGACTGAATTCCGCTCTTGACCTATCTAGAAAGGAAAGAAAACTCAGGACCTCGATCCTAAATGGCAAAAAGATTTAGGTGATATAGCCTATAAGCTTAGGATAGCTTTTACTAAGTTTATTTTAACACCCTGTATCAAGGTCCGTTGTTTTCTTGCCCCCCTGAGGCCCATACAATTGAGACATATGGGCTAGAAGTGATCTGCCCCTAGTTTGAGACTTATGTTGCCATGATTTTAGTATGAGTAGATACGATTTTGCTTCTTTACCGCACCGTGGTAGCATCAACTGCCTTGTGCTAGATATATGAAGTCGACTGCATACGTTAGTAGTAATTAACCACAAATCAGATGCCTAAGAAGAGAGAAGAGACAACAACAACAACAACATATGATCTTCAGCATTGCTCACCCATACCGATCATAAAGGTGAAACCCGGTGAGTTGAAAAATGACTGGTCGCTGTTCGGCTCTAAATGCACTACCTACAGGTATGCAATGCAGCTAATACAGTACACACCAAGACGCTATTTCATTTCAGCTTGGTAATCTTCTGCATTGCATAGCGCATGGATACATCCTTTTGCATAATGTTTGCTTGATACATCATATTCCTTCAGCGATTCTAGACTGCAGTTTGATATGCCCGCCGTAGGCTAAAATGACATGCTTGCGCAGTATTGCATGCAGGTTTGCTCGCTAGTTACGGAGTAGTATATACAGTATTCGCAACGAATCATGCGATGCAACAAAAGAGGCAATGTTTGGATTAGTTTCGGTTCCTGGTACATGGATATATCCCTTCTTCAAGCCACATAACGCGCACTTTTCCCCGGCAGGCAATGCAATGCCGTACAGTCTTACATATGTCTCAGTTCTCGACTTTGCGGGCGGCGGGCTTATTGTCCATCTGCATGACACACGCCACGTTGAGTCTGACTGGCTGTTGAGTGAGTACATTGAGATAACTCTAAACATCAGCAGTCAATATGTCTCTGGCTGATAAGTTGTATCGAATGGGTCGGTTCTGCAGATGCATCAGCCACCAACAGATTTACCTAGATACAATAGTTCCTCTCATGCATATGCATCTCTTACATCACCAGTTCTCGGGCCCGAATCGCTCTCCATCCGGTACATGAGCTTGTATCGCGGTCCCCTGGACATCCATCGTCGAAGTGACAATGTTGTTCCCCCACCAGCTTGGCGGATCTACACCGTGAAGCGTAAAAGCAAAGAAGATGAACAAAGTCGCTAGGGCGAGACCTAGATCGAGAGCTGACGAGGTTAGGAAGTTGAGTCTGGTCCACCACCTGAAGTGGCGCTTCTTGATCCAGAACTGGAAGACGAAGCCAACAATGCCCCATGAGAGATAATTCAGCGGTGTTGCCGGCGGGATTGCCCCTGCACCTCCAAATATGAGGGGTGCCATGAGATATCGCACCGGAGACCTCGGCCATCGTTTGGCTGAGACATAGATGACTATTGGTGTAATGGCACCCACGATGAAGAAGACAAAGAGGCCAGAGTATACCTGACCAGGGGAAAACATGCGTGCAGGGCCTAGAAGGCCCCAGATGACACTCGCTATCAAATTAGAAGGTTCTGGAGTCGTAGGCAATGGATTGCATGACTTACCGGCAAAGAAGACACGGCCACCGGGGCACGTAAAGTGGTCGACTTGCTCATGAGTGCAGACTTGAGGTATTCTTTTCAGGGACAGATTTAGAACGACGATCTGTATAAAGCACGAGAATGTAGTGGCAACGACTTGAGACAGGAACATGGTTCGAGGGGGGATTTTCATGTAATGTCCGAACTTCAAGTCCGAGACAAACCGAAGTGATTGCGCCCTGGGGTGAGTGTTAGCTAGCCTCGCTCTTTCGGCACTTCAGAAAGAGTCTAGATACATTGTTATAAAACCGTATGTTTTAAAGCTTTATAGGTTAGCAAACAAGAGTTTTGAAGCGGATGCTGAACGTACATCATGAGCGCCAGAGGCCGGCCTGGCTGAAGGTATCCATAGACGAACTCGGTCAAGACATTCAACCCAATCTGAGTATTTGTAACAGCTTGGATAATGCCTATAGGCAGAGCAAAACCAAAAGAGATGGCTATTGCAAGCAGAAAAGCCCACCAGGAGAGATTGGTTGGGTAGCCTAGTACTGTATAGAATCCTATAAGCAGCATCTACTTCATCGTCAGTCGACCACACAACAAGAGGCGCTCAGCACCATGACTTACAATAGCAAACAGGGACATATACCACCACGTAGGCGCCTCTTTATACTTTCTCATGAGTTTCATGTGAATGTCAGGCTTCTCGTTGGTGCTGTTTCTCCATTGTTGCCAGATCTGCTTTCCATTGTGCAGATAGGTGTAGACAATTAGTGACGATATAGCAGCGAATGACAAGCCATAAGACATGGCAAAAGTGGTGCTTTCCATGTTAGTCTTGATCATCATTGTATCGCAGTTGAGTTGAGGCTCGTGGCCGAGAGCTCAAATCAACGGACAGGACTTAGAACAAATTATCATACCTAAGAAAAAGGGGTGAGTAGTTCTTGTACTCTTCTTCATCCAATTCAAAGTTTTTCGTGAGAATCCGTGAGGTGTTGTATGGGTTTCCTTTATTGTCGTAAACTGAGGAGTCACTCATGGGCAAATACTCAGCATACCACGCTCCGCCATAGTGAAGAAAGGATGATCCTATAACGAAGAATACAACAACTCCGATGACGGTATTGGCGATAGCATGCCTTTTCTCGATTAGCTACACCTGTCAAGAGTTTCCGTCAGACATACCACGGCGGAATGAGCGGCGAGCCAACGTATCCTGCTATTTGAGTCCAGTCGAAGGTGATAGGAAGAAGCGAAACACCCGTCTGCCCTCCAAACAGCTGATTCACAATAGGATTCTGGGGCGCCATCCATGTTGCCACAGCAAAGATACTCAAAAATTGCGCGAGAAAGCCGGGAATGAAGTAGTATACGAAGGAACATGCAGTTACAATGGCGAACCACTTGTATCTGTGCATTCTGCCTCCTATAATGGCAGGGTCTGGTGTGTCGTTTGTCTCGTACATGGCATTCATAAGAGTTACACCAACAAGATTCTCGGGCCAGATCATGGATGCAGGATAGACTTCTAAGGTTAGTTGAAGGACCACTGTGACATAGGGACAACTTGCCTAAGAACTTGCGTAGCATCCCAGCAATGCCATATCCCACAGATTGCGTTGAGATAGTCAGGAGAAGCTGGAACACAAGACCAAAGTCCTGCTTGTAGAAGATGACCTGTGCAAGGATGATATCCGTGGCATACGCAACAGAGAATGATACACTGGCCATGACAACGATAATTGAGTGTTCCTTGACATTAAAGGGGCCGGGATTCAGAGTCCACGTTATACCAAAAGTGTTGAACTCCCTGTCAGTCACTAACAACGCCCAGGCATTGCCTATAGGCCACGCAACAATTTGAGCGACGAGAGGCCCAATACTGATGGATGGTTGGCGGAGAGAGAATAACGTATTTACAGCCGCTCCAGTAACGACGAAAATCATGCCGATAGTCCAAGCTCTCACTGTATTGCATGGAAGATCTTCGTCGAAGTTTCTTACCGCAGCTCGAACTTCAGGATAAGGGGAGTTTTCTTCCTCTTCGTCTTCTGCATCATCACTGAGCAGCGCTGCTTCATCACCAGACTCTCCTGAACCCTTTCGTCGCGTCTCATACTCCTGAGGTAGATTTGGGTCCATAAGCATCTCGTATTCCGAACCTGCCTCGTCATCGTTGCGTTCGCCTGCCCACTCATGAAGGCGATGCTTGAGGTTCTCATTTGATGAGTCTTCAATCTCAAGAGACGTGGATAAGCGTCCACTAGGACCTCCCATACTTTGTCCAACGGCTTCGGCTGGCAATACCGACCCTAGCTTCTTGTTCTTTGGCATTGTGAGATTTGGCTCTTCTCACCCGGGGTTATCGGAAAGTGGGCTATCAGTTTAGAGATTCTGATACCACATTAGTATCTCAAAGACATTGCATTTTTTTTATATGAACTCACTCTATTCATTTAAGAAACGTCTCTAAGCTGAGTATAAGAGTTTTTGAATGCTCGAGACTCGAGGTGTTGTTGAAGCCGTGTCGTTATATGAGGGAACTGTCCTTTTGTTTGTACCACTTTGTGGCGTCTATTGAGGCTCGGGTCTTCTCATAGGCCTGTCAGCAAACAACAATTGACAACAATATAAACTGTTGGTTCAGCATCAAACAATCAAAGGAACAAATCTTCCAGATAATCCGAAGAAGGTAAGAGATCTACTCAGGAGGATGTTGTTCAAGACAAGGTTCGGGAGGATTCCCGTTGAACTTATGAGAGGTACCTCAGACATGCCCCTGTATCAAGATGGGCACTAAGCCTGACACGGAAATTCCACTTCGGTTTGGATCAATTAATCCATCGATTTTATTATACAACATCCATCAGCTCTACCGTCCTGTGATCACTTGGACCTGTATAAAGACTTGATTTGTACAGAGTGTCAAGATTTATATACGATACAACTGTCCCCTTGTGACTCTCATTCACCTAGGAATGGGCTTATGATGCGTCGCGTCGTAGTGACAGGCCTTGGAGCCATCACGCCCTTGGGAGTTGGCGTAAAGCGAACTTGGACTCGTCTTATTAACAACGAATGCGGAATCGTCAGCGTCGCAGATCTCGAGCCTCAGGCGCGATGGAGAGAGTTGACGAGCACAGTCTCTGGGCTAGTGCCCATTGGTGATGGAGAAGGACGATGGAGGGCATCGGACTGGGTCAATGCAAATGAGCAAAGACGAATGTCGAAATTTACACAATATGCCATCGCCGCTAGCGACATGGCCCTCAGGGACTCGGGCTGGGAGCCGAAGAACGCAGAGCAGCAAGAGGCAACAGGTGTTTGTCTTGGAAGCGGTATTGGAAATCTGGACGAGATTTACGAGACCAGTTTAGTACACCATCAAGACGTGAGAAGCCATTCAGTTATTTTCGAACCTATGCTAAATATGTGACAGGGCTACAAGAAGGTCTCTCCGTTATTTGTTCCCAAGATTCTCATTAATATGGCCGCCGGACATGTGGCTATGAAATACGGCTTCCAGGGTCCGAACCACACGGCTACCACAGCTTGCACGACTGGTGCACATTCAATCGGAGATGCATCACGGTTTATCACCATGGGAGACGCCGATGTAATGGTCGCTGGTGGTTCAGAGTCATGTATCCATCCCTTGACTTTCGCTGGCTTTGGCAGAGCAAGATCTCTGTCCACAGCATATAACGACAATCCCATGGCGAGCTGTCGTCCATTTGATGCTGACCGCAATGGCTTCGTTGTTTCTGAAGGTGCTGCAGTGGTGGTTCTCGAAGAATTAGAGCACGCCAAAGCACGGGGAGCACAGATATATGCTGAAATCAAGGGCTACGGCTGCAGCGGTGATGCTCACCATATGACAGCACCACGTGAAGATGGCCATGGTGCATACCTTGCTATGAAGAAAGCACTCAAAAGTGCAGGCATCAAGCCTTCGCAGGTCGACTACATCAACGCACACGCAACAGCAACTCATGTTGGAGATGTAGCGGAAACGTCGGCCATCAAACGGATCATGCTGGGCGAAGAGGGCCATCAGAAAGAGTCAGATGTTACAGTCAGCAGCACCAAGGGCGCAGTCGGACATTTGCTGGGTGCTGCTGGAGCTATTGAGGCTTTATTTTGCATCCTAGCCATTCACGAGGTATGTGACCTTCACAGCAGTGAGGATGTTATTCACTAACTATAGCCAGGGAGTCGTACCAGCAACATTAAACCTACAGAAGCCAGATGTTGGAGCTGCCTTTAATTTTGTGCCAAATGAAGCACAAGAGAAGACGGTTGGTGTAGCTGTATCCAATAGCTTTGGCTTTGGCGGTACAAATAGCTCATTGTTGTTTTCAAAATATCAATGATGTTGACGTAAAATGTAAAATAGCTGTATACTATTGTATTTCTGCTGATCAAATTCCTCCAGTGATCGCACGATTGATATAGAGCACAGTGAATACAGTGCGTTTCGCACCAAATTGCCGACAGCCGAACCAGTCACAAAATTTCAGATTCAACTTACTAGCTTAGGATCCAAGGGTCCATGACGATAACACTCCAAGTGCCTCTCATCCCGCCTTGCCCAGGCCCTTGACGCCGAATTTCCCTACTCAACATACTCTCACAATGAGCTTGGCCTGCGAGACATGTAGAACCCAGGCCCGGACCGTCCTCCGGGCTGCAATGCGAGCCGGCGCATCACGAGCCGCTGTACCGACGACGAGGAATTTCCTTCCACCCGCTGCGGTTGTTACTCGACGACATTTCAGCAACACGAGCTCGAGAAGCCTCCTCAAGGGTATTGGAAAGTCCATGGCGGAGCCGTACCGTGTGTTGGGTGCGACAGAGCAGCTTTTCAAGGCTTCAGCGAAGGCAGCAGATTATCATATCACTGAGAAGGAGAGAAAAGATGACCAGGTGCAGCTTGCGGAGGATGGTGAAGAGATTGGGCATTCTCTGAACCCTGATAGTCCCTGGCATCACGGTACGTCTCTTATTAACCTCAAAGAACTCGTCCCATGCTGACTTGCACAGTCTTTAAACTTCCTCCAACCTTTAGCACCTGGTCCCATGTAACCATGCTTCACCTCTACCTAATCAACACACGAATACGCTGCTTCGACCGCGAGGGCTTCCAAAACTGGCAGCACCAGCTCACAGACCACTTCTTCTTCGAGTGCGAGAAGAAGATGCACATTGACCACCACATCACATCGAGCGCCCTCCGCCAGCGATACCTCAAGGACATTTTCGTTCAGTGGCGTGGTCTCCTACTAGCATACGACGAGGGTCTCATCAAGGGCGATGCGATGCTAGCAAGCGCCATCTGGCGAAACCTGTTCAAGGGTTCTGCTGATGCGGATCCTAGAGCTCTTCTTGCTATCGTGGGCTGGATGAGATCGACACTGTTGCAGTTCGAGGCTGTTTCGGATAGCAACCTTGCTGCGCAATTACCGGTGATTATGGCCAAGCCAGTGGATGTGTTCTGGACGAGATTGGAGAAGCAACTTGGCGGACAGCAGGAGGATAGTGTTCCTGCTAAGGAGGTGAAGGGGGAACTTGTATCAACAGAGGAGACAGCCAAGGTTTCAGCAAACTAGAGCGCGGAAGGAAGATTTGTACTATCAGAAGAATGTCTGGGTTACATGACAAAAAAGAATAGAACGGGCAGGCTGTATGAATAGGGCGCTGGATGATGGGATTTTCCTAGGCATAACGGTTGTATATGAATAATTCCCTGATGAAATTCCACCTCATATATATGTTCTTTTGTTGTGATTATTTCTGCGTAGTCAACTACCTACTAATCATGCTTCTCCCACATTTGAAACTCATATTTTGTGCCAGCCTCTTCTTGACCACCCTCTTCAATTTCTTCACCTGTCCACTCCTGCAACTCCTCTCTGGACTTTCTCTCCCATGATCCGTCCTTCAAGTCGACAGGAAAGAAAGTATCGCAGTCGAAATCACGCTCAATACTCGTGAGAAGAATCCGCCGTGCTTCTGGCAGTCTGAGAGCGGCGTCATAGATCTGCGCACCACCGATGACGAAAATTCGACCGACGTCGCTATGAGTACGGGCGTATTGAAGAGCAAGCTCAAGAGATTGAACTCTGACGGGTTCAGAGGGCTCAATTGTCTCGGGGAGCTTTGAAGGTGCGGAGCGGGATATGACAATGTTGAGACGGTCTTTGAGAGGGCGGAATTTGGTGGGGATTGAGTCCCAGGTTTTGCGGCCCATGATGACAGCGTTGACGGAGGATGAGGGAGCCTGGTCGAGTCAGTACATGACTCTCATGGTATCTTCGACATAGCGACAACGCAGCGATGTATAGCTGGCAAAGTAAGGAAGGGTAATACATACCTGTGGTGGCACCCGAGTTGTGACGCGCGCAAAGTACTTCATCTCTTTGCGTAGACCTTGCCAGGGCATTGTTCCATGGAGGCCAATGCCCATGTTGCGTGTGGCCGCGACTATGAGATTCAGTTCGAGAGACTGCATTGCTCAAGATGTTGGGTGATGATGAATCTGTGTGTGAGGTTAGAGGTGGAGGGTTGATGAGGCTTAAGTTGAGTGGATTTGTTTGTGTGTAACGGTGATATGGGACTAAAATGACACCTGAGACATGGCATGGCGATGTGTCACATATTTATTCTACATCTTTCACTGTTGTTACGTTTGGGAGTAATAGGCCGCGTTTCGTTTCATCTGCAATAAATTCTGTCTTTATTGTTGGTACAAATCCAGTGCCAGGCTTATGATTTCTTCCTGCTAACCACCAAGCTCATCTACCTACCTAGGTAGGACTACCCTCACAACTTTGATGGAGGCAAAATCTCAACATCCTTGAAAGGAACTCCCAAAAACCGGTAAATATGATTAAATCTGCAAAGTCAGTTTCTGTCTTCTTTCTTTTGCCACATCGACGACTTACCTGTCACTTCCAAAGAAAGCCTCAAACCTGCCATCATCGCGGGTCACAATCAACCAAGGAGCTCCAAAAGCGCCCTTCTGAACCGCTTCGCCAGTAAGATCTTTGACCCTCTCCTTCATGCTCTCTCTCCCATTCATGATCTTCTCAACATCTTCATCAGAGAACAGCTTTTTGCCAGACCCTCCATCAAGCTCATCCGTTGCTTCCTTGAGAGCTTCAATGAGCTTCTCGTCCTCGGCAAGATTGACATGAGGAGGCAGCCAGATCTTGTGGAAGAGTAATCGGATTGCAGCGAGATAAGTTGACTCTGGGTAGTTCTCCTTGATAAAGTGTAGGGCGCGGAGAGGTGACACGGTCTTTGCTATGGCAACGATATCGGGTGGCGAGCCTTGATAGGGGAGCCCAAGCCGCTCAGCAGCTCGGAATGAATCTCTAGCAAGATATTCCCCCTTGGCCTTGAGAACCCATGGAGGACGGTTCCCTAAATCTATGTAAGATGAAGTTGTGGTATTCGGGTCACTATAGTTGAGTAGTTACCTGACGTCTGCATAATGCCGCCCAAAAAGACAGGGATGAAGCTATAAAAGTCAGCGATTTGCTCAAAGACATGGATAACAATGAGCATACTTCACTTGTACTCCATGAGCAGCAAGTTTGCCCATGTTCTGCCTCAAGTCTGCATATCCTACATAACTGTAGAACGACACTGTTATATATCAGTGCTGCCCTGGAAGTAGAGATGTTAGTTAGGCTTCTCACCAATGTCGAGGTAGCAGTCGATACGTCCACCCATTTTAGCACAATACTTCTTTCTTGCGTTATTCGATGGGTAAATGACGAGATTTGTATCCGTACTTGCAGGTACACACACGTACCTACATTTCCAAGGTGGAGGGTCCTTTATTAAACGGATCTCGGCCCCCCGGTCGATGTGGAATCTTCCCCGTGCCGAGGTTCGGGGAAGGCGGAGGTTGGGCTTGGGGTGCATCGAACTTAGACCTTTTAGGACATTTGATCTGATCTGATCTATAAGCAGATCGTCAGTATTTATACTCCCTACAAATTTTCAAATAACAAATCTCTTAACCAGTAAAACAATTGTTCACAATGGTATCCAAGAAGCCTGTTGCCCTTGTTGTAGGCGCCTCCAGAGGCATCGGCCGTCAAGTCGCCGTTGACCTCGCCCGCAACGGCTACGCTGGTATGTCAAGCTTCGCTATATATCTATTGTACTTACGAAGCTAACACCCCAAAGTTGTTGTTGCTGCAAAGACTATCAGTGATCCCTCCAATCTGCCAGAGCCTTTTCCTCCAAATCCCAACTCTTCTGCTTCTACCATCACAACAGTTGCTCGCGAGATCACTTCTGAGGGAGGCGACGCTACTGCTATTCAGGTCGATGTCCGCTATCCTGAGAGTATAGATGCTCTTGTATCGAATACTATCTCCGTTAGTTTGCCAAGTTGCTCTTCCTTTCAAATTATCCCTCCTAACAACCCCAGACTTATGGCCGTCTAGATGTTCTTATCTACAACTCGGGCGCCATCTTCTGGGCTCCTGTCTCGTCGACTCCTGTAAAGCGCTTCCAGCTCATGCAGCGCGTCAATCCAGAAGGACTCTACGCAACGGTTCAAGCTGTTCTTCCTCATATTTCTTCTTCAGGCCGGATAGTTGTTGTTAGCCCACCTATCTATAGTCGTTTCTTCCGTGGCAAGACTGCATATGCTATGGGCAAGGTTGGTATGAGTGTTCTCACAAAGGGTCTCGCCATGGACTTTGAGCGCGAGGGCAAGAAGGATATGGCCATCACATCAATTTGGCCAGCTGTGGTATGTTGGATCTGGTACCTTGATTTTACTTTGACAACTGACATATTAGGCCATCGAGTCGGCGGCGACAGAGAAATTCACAGCCAAAAACCCGGAGGAAGCCAACGATTTACGAAAGGCAAACATCTTCTCCGACGCTATCCTCGAGATTCTCAAGGCTATTCCAAGCGTTGTGAACGGCGAGCTCCTCCTAGATGAAGACTTCCTCCGCGAACATGCAGGGATAACCGACTTCTCCAAATACAATGTGGTTACAGGTGCCTCACCACGGAGGATCATGCCTCAAAGTCTCCCAGACTTGACTGTAGCAGAGCAAGCAGACGAGGGCAAACGCTACGACAGCACAAAGGATAAACCCAAGCTATAGAATTATTGAAGATCGCTATGGTTTCAATATATGTAGGAAAAAAGAGACCGTTGTACAGGTAGCTAATAGCACGGGGAAATTGAACCTGCGCAGCCATGATATCCTCTAGAACACACATCTAATACCTCCTTGGCCATGGAAGCTGCGTTCACCAAACTCCTAGACATGATTACAAACGTACACCCGACTCTTTGAAACCCCTCCTTTCCTTTCCATTCCTTTCCCTGTCATTTTACAAAAACATATCGCTCCTGAGATTTTATGGTGCGCCAGCCATCAATAGGGGACTTGGCTACCTGGTCCCACTCCTTGCATGCCATCAATGTCGTCCATTACACCGTTGAACACGTGCGTGATCTGGTCAACGACTCTGCTGCGGTTCCATTCGTTTCTTGTGCGCCATATAGCGTCCATGAGCTCACGGTTGATCTGTTCAAGTTGCTCAATAGTACAGCCGCTTGTCGCGTCCGTTAGGTGCTGAAGGACTGTATCTATCTCGCCTCCAGCGAAAGGTTGAGAAGCGGAAGTGGATGAACCCGAGTTCCGAACCGACTGGTATTCATCAGAAGTCTGATCATTGAGGATGTTGGCCATTCCGGCCACGCTATGCGCCTTGAAACCGGATGATCGCTGCGAAGGTGGACTACCAGAGATGCCCGATCCTTGCATGAGGTTACCCCCTGCCGCAGCAGCCTGAGCTTGAGAGTGCAGCCAAGAGTCATCTCCAGAAGTATTGTGCCCGGCTACGAGTAACGTGTCTGGGATGTCGACTTGGCTATCATCCTCAACACCTCGGTTCTCAGCATGGCCACCATTTGTCATTTGACTAAAGTTGGACGATTGGTGAGTTGATGGGTCCGAGGTTTTGGTCGTTGAAGCCTCGTTGATAACAGCTGATGGTGAAACTCCTGGGGGGAGAGTAGTCACTACTGACTTCTGTGAGATCTGGGTCATGCCAGTATGAGCCACGCTGAGGTCATGAGACTTTGGTGGAGGCCCCATGTCAGACATAGCCTGCGTATCATCTTGGATACCACTCATCTGGACATCCTCTCCTAATGGGTGAGTGAGGCCATTACTCAAGGGGTGTGATGATTCATGACCAGAGGTGCCATGACCATTTGAAAGTGGGCTTCTAACTTGGAACCTAGCAGTTGTCCTCGATCCTGGCACAGCTTCTCCCAGAGTAACAGGGCCTTGAGAGTCGCTGTCATTCCCACCCAGATCAGATTGCACACGGTCTATGACAGACTGCATGGCTTTTCGCTTTCTTTCCTTCTCCGTAGCATCCTTGGCACGCTGAACTTGGCGTCTGTATAGCGCCTCCCAGTCAACTTGAGAGGTTTGGTTTTCGATACTAGCGACATCAACCTCGACATTGCTGAGGAGTTCATTGGCCTTGAGAGTTCGCTCCTTATCTCCAATATTTTTGGCGTCTTTTGCAAGAGCCTTAATGTCGAAGAGAAAGTCTTTTGGGCGGGCATAGAAGCCGTTTGACAAGCGCTCCTCGATGGTAGTTGTCTCAAGATTATAATAACACTTCCCAGATGTGGTATCTCTGAGAACATCGTTGTCATACTTGTCCTTGACGATCTCATATGGTCGAATTTGTCCAGCTTCAAGGTCTGGACGCACATAATTGGGATCCGACTCGGCGAAAAGATAGTCGATCTGAGTTTGAGGGATGACAGGCTGCCTGAACTTCTTGTACTTTCGATTGATCTGATCCATGATGGGCTGAAGCTGGATCTTGAGAGCATTGAGAAGCTGGTGATCTTTCTTCTGTGCAGCCTTCATATCAGCCTTGGTAGGGGGCGGTGGTTCGATTGGAGGAGCCACAGGAAGCTCCTCGAGGACCCTCTTCTTCCGATTTTCAGGGTCGGGGAACTCGCGGGGTTTCTTCTTAACATATTGCAACGTTGTGCTAAAATATTCCATTCGAGAATGCTACAAAGGTTAGCACAGAAGCCCCATTCCACAAATGTGTTGCTTACCAGATCAGGTTTCTCGATTTTCATTTGGTTCTTCTTTGCAAAACCAAAGAAGTCGCGGAAGAGTTCACTGGGAAGCTCTTCTCTATCGCCCTCTGCTGTCGCGAGAAGAAGAACTGGATCTGTTGGAGGAATAGATCGTAACATTGTCTTGAAAGTTGTCAGAGCAAGAGTGTTGTGTAGTGCCATATACCAAGCTTCGATGTTAGGGATATAGATAACACTAGGTTTGTGTCGCCTGACTTCCGTAAAGAGACCGACAATGACCTGCTCCATAGCCTGCCGATGTTAGTCTGTAGTTTCCCATGTGAGTACACAAACTTACTCTTCCATCACCCAAGATGCTGGGAAGATCAAAATTCTGAACATGAACTCCCTCGAAATGGTGAAGAATGGCAGAAGCAATGTAACTCTGTCCCATACCGCTGACACCATATATGATGAAGCGAGGGCGGAAAACTCTGGATCGCTCAAACTCTTGGTGCATAGTTTCTCTACCAAAGCCATGATCATCATCATCATATTGCTCGTACATGGCTTCTTGAAGAGCTGTCATCTTCTTCCTACGAGGCAACAAGTCATCAAGGGCAGTCTTGGCTTCGTTGAACTGTTTGCGTAGTAGCGGCTCTATCGATTTGGGAAGTGGTTTAGCACCGGATGTCGCTGATCGTTCAGAGGAGGGAATAAGCTTCTTGATGGACAGCATAAAGTCAGTGGCATGAACGCCAATCTTCTCGGGGTCGACCACAAGCTTTTCCTTGGAGGCGTAAATTTGGGGATAAGTTCGTTGAATAGCATTGAGAGCTGCTTCAGTACAGAGAGCTCGTAAATCAGCACCACCATAGCCCTTTGTGTTCTCGGCTAGGGAATCTTTGAACTTCTCTGATAGTCCCCAGTCTGCTGTGTGAATGTTGAGAATTGACTTTCGCCCTTCCATATCAGGCAACGGGAAGTAAAACTCTCGGTCGAATCGACCAGGTCGACGAAGAGCGGGGTCGATATTGTCAGGTCGATTGGTGGCTCCAATAACAATGACTTGACCGCGACCGTCCATGCCATCCATCAAGGCCAACAGGGTTGAGACGATCGAAGCATGGATCTGTTCCTGCTTGCTGGAACGAACCGGCGCAAGGCCATCAATCTCATCAAAGAAAATGATACTGGGCTGAGTTCTGCGCGCTTCCTCGAAGAGCAATCGAAGCTGTTTCTCGGCTTCACCCACCCACTTGCTCAGGGCATCGGCACCTTTACGCATGTAGAATGAGATCTTACGGCCGCCGGACCCAACTGAGTTAGCCAGAGCACGAGCAAGCAGCGTTTTACCTGTTCCAGGAGGACCGTGGAACAAAACACCACGAGGTGGAGTGACGTGGAATCGTGTGAAGAGCTCGGGATAGAGCAAAGGGAGCTGCACCATTTCCTTCAACTGATCGATGTGTCCCTGAAGGCCACCAACCTTGCTGAAGTCGACGTTCAGATCAACACCCAGAGGATCAGCATCCGCAAGAGCTTTGCGGTCCTTGATCTTGCCAACATTGGGAGCGCCAGCATCGGGGTTTAGGCCAGGGACACCAGGAAGAAGCCCACCGTGAGTTGCAGCTGTCGG